AGTTACCGGACATGACGTCAAAAGGAGAATTTTGTTGCAATGAAACAAAGGAAAACTGATTTGCAATTCTCCTTTTGACGTCATGTCCGGTAACTTTAGGAGCTAATAAATCCATCAAGATGAAATTTTTCAATAACAAAATATATTGCAAAGTGTCTTAAAATACCCTACACTTTCGAGATATGCAAACTCCAAAACCCTGATATAGGCACTTTAACATTTTTGTTAACAAAACAAGAACAGTAAAATCTAACTCTTGAAATGTATAGTTGCCTTTTCTCTCTAGTACTGACATGCAGATAAGTAATCAACAATCATGACGGTATTGAACCCAAATTGTCTTAAATAACATATAATTTTAGAACTGAAAGAATGTCTTTTCTTCATCTGTAAATATGCCATGTTGTTGGACAGAGAGATAAGGGTTTACATGATTGGAAGCATTGGAAGCATTGGAAGCATTCAAACTGGGGGCATGATGATGATTTATTTGACTTGCGTTAGCCATTAACATACTCAGCATTTTTAGTTCGTGTTCCCTTTCTTCTTTTCTCCGTTGGGCTTCCACGATTGCTTGTTCTCTTTGAAATTCGGGTAGATTTTTATTTTTGCTTGACCGCGCCGTGATTGGAGGGAAATTACATTTCAGATTCGGATCAATATGTATAACAGTTCGCGCATTGGCAAGTCGATCGTTGTTTCGAATTCCTGTAATTTTAGACACAACGAATCTCTACGACCATACGCCGTTTGTTCCATTATGCATGGTTCAACGCTTCCAGTTCCAACCCCATCTCCCAGGGCAACCCCTGGAAAAATATAAACCGACTGTTCCTGGGAGTGCGGAATTTTATTGAGTGTCTTGTCCCGGAGGTGGCACGTGTGAGTAGGGGTTGCGAATATAAAGCCTTTTTGGGCCTAGCCCTATACCTCTTAGGTATTCGATAATACATTCGTGGATCAGAGATTGCGCAAGAAAAATGCGTCCTGTCAGTGAACTCGAAGATTGATATTTGTAAAATTTCGATTTATAACGTGTTTGTATGCAATAATGATTTGTGAATGTTGTCGCCAGTGTAGGGAATTGCCAATCTTTATTTTCCCGGGGGTGCGGAATTTACATTATGGAAATAAAATATTCGCAAATCCCGGGGGGTTGGTAACAGGGAGAATTGAGCCATGCAGGAACTTATCCCAATTACTACGACTGGTCGTTATAATTTACGTACGTCTAACAATGGCATTTTATTATCATATCCTCGGGGTAAATCAAACAAAAGGCTTGGTGATCAGTCGTTCATGTTTCTGTGTCAACATTATGGAACAGCCTTCCAGCGCGGGACATAGAACAGTTATCTCGTTTTAAATCAAAACTTAAAAAATATTTATTTAAGATATGTTTTTATTCAAAAATAGATCATTTTCTATTTAAAATATATTTATAATACTTAATGTTTTATAACAATGAACACTTCTAATTTATTCACTAATTTTGTAATTATAAGATAATGTAACTATGTACTATTTGTAGTAACATATAGTATATTGTTTACGAGGAACATATTTATCCATCCCATATTTTAATTTTCTTTCTTCTCTATAAAAGAACAAATAATCTGGAATGACTGATCAATAAGTCACAATTCTGTCATATTTCATTGCAAGGGCGTTGTAGAATATTTTTCAAACAAGTTCAAACGAAGTTTTTATATAAAATAAAGAAAAGTATCGAAATGATTAAAATTGGAATGATACTGAAATTAAAAAGGCAATACAATTTAAAAACACTCTGGTTAAAATTCCTGCAGGTTGAACGTTCTTGTTAGATAGAAATTTAGAAATTTCAACTTGATATACAGTATAGACACTATGGCAGGAATCGAACCTTTCCGATTTCTATTCATCTGCGATTCCAGAGGAACTATACAGGGTGGAACTGAACAGATTTGACTTGCTCTCAATTTCACAAAACAGCTCGGGGTACCAAGTTTGTGTTATATATAGATTCGTGGAGTACCCATAATGTAGAATAATGAAAAAAATACTCGAACTCAAATTGTGTAAACCATGGGGGTGTTTCATTTCTAACAAACTAAAAATGGCTAGCTTGCGCACGAAATTTAAAAGCTTTAATTAATCGTGTTTTGAGTTAATGGATGGAAAATTTGTTGGGTTTTTAATACATTACTGTACAAAATTACAGACAATTTGCGTTATACTTTAAGCCCTTCAACTATTTATTTTTTCCTAAAAAATCAGCCTTTCGCATGCTTAATTATGGTTACAGAACACCTTTGAGTGTTAATTTTGTCTAAAATGTTTTTATTGGTTTCCATGAAAGCATTAGACTATAGTTCTACTATCTGACCAAGTTTGAACGAAAAATGTTGAATACACGCAGAGTTATTTAATAAAATACATTTCGCTGCAATAAGAAAAACATTGAAAATATAATATTCAAATTCGATTTTCTCCCGAAGAATTTTGCGGTAATTACTGATTTTCAAACGAGTTGTTCTCGGCGGCGGGTTTTAACCAATTCTTTCTTAAATTTCCACAGCACATAGCTAAAGACGTCAGTTTCAAAATTGTGTTAGGCTTTTTTTAAATTTTGGATATTTTAATACTAAAGAGCAATTCACTCAAACAATTCAGAAATATATTGCAGTCGTCAAAGAAATCGCCATATCAGCGGAATAACGAACTAACAAGAATTTCCGAACACAATTTTTTAGAACAACTATTTTGCTGTATAAAAATGATATTTTCATAAATATAACTTAAAGCCAGCAGGAGCACAACTCAAAAGCGTAACGGTACCGCGATTTAAGATTTTTCTAAATAATTCTTACATTATTTTATTGTTTGTTAAAGTGCCTATATCAGGGTCAGGGAAATGCCTTTTACTGATAGTTTAGACGATTTTAAGAACATTTGCAATATATTTGACTAGACGAAAATTTGATCTTCATGGACTTTTTGGGCCTCAAAGTTGGTGATTTTTCGAATTGCCGCGAGCTTGAAAATACTGGTAACTAATCGGCGTTAACCGCCGGAAGTGACGTAAGAATGAGAAAACGCTAATCTTGCCAAGTATCATCATAATAAAACAGTATAGAATTTTAGTCCAAAATATCGTCCAATTTTTCCGCTTAATAACATTTTGGGTTAACTTTTCGTTTAAACAATGTCGTCAAGTTTTTCCGACAATACGGACAGCCAACTTGATTCGGATATGATTTTTTTACCAAATTATATAATGGAAATCGAAGATGATGCAGTTCAGCCTCCCACAGACAGCTCAACACAAAGCGATGAAGACCAGTGGCCAGGCTGACAACCTTACCAAGACGAACCGATTGCTGATCCAGCTTGGATAGCTCAATACAACGAAGAGAGACGTGCCGAAGAAGAGAGACGACAGCTGCTTATGTCTCGCTTGAACGGAACCATCCCCGTATCAAATTGGTAGGTGAAATGTATACTATATGTGAGCTCAGACTCAGACTCAGAGACAGAGCTCGTGTTTACATTTTGTGTAGACGCTACGGCGTACGCAGGCTAGTGTTGACACTCGTGTAAAAATATTTTCCTTTTTCGTTTGACAAATCACAATGAATATTATAAGGTGTTCCTTTTTATTTCAGGTGTACATGCGAACTATGTAAAGTCGATTTACTGGTAAATGAGAGAGAGGCTCAATGCTGCCAAGAAATCGAAGGCTGCTTAGAAGCGTTAGGGACAGAACTTGTTTTACAAGAAGTAGGTGCTGAGCCAAATTGCATGCATAACGCTTCATCCAGGCTTTGGTTCGGTCTGTTTATCATCCTGGTCATTGCGTCTGGCAGGGCGTAAATTTCGAAAAATAGATGGCAGGAAGTATAACGTGGAAGGTGATGAAAACAGGCAAGACTCATATATGTAATAATATATATATTTATTAAACAATATAATATAGCCATTTTTAAGCCTGATAAATCCCCACAATTTGTTATCAATCAGAAAATTTCATTTATATAAAACCATTACAAATATTACATGAAAAGTTTCTTATATTATAGGTATTTCCGAAGTGTTGCCTATAGAGAGTATATAGTATATACAATTGGTTTATGGATACTTGGGAAAGAGAAGAATACCTTTACCAACATGTGCTTATCATGCCATAAGACAAGCTTTTGGTGGAAAAGACTTCAAAGGTTTTGAGGATGATGAAGAGTTGGAATGATATCATCACAATAATATTATGCATCCAAAAGTGCCCACCCCCAGGGCTTCTGACATTTTAAATCAATCTTGTTAACCCAACCACTCTCCTCTTGACGAGGGAAATCGTCTGGCATTAGAAAGAGTAAAATAATAAAGTATGGTGCATCAGGGCGCAATGCGACTCAATGGGTTAAATAGACACATGGGCAGATAGGCCAGTTAACCCATTAAGCACCAGCGCTCTCCCTTGATGAGTAAAATCGTCTGGCGTTAGACAGAGTAAAATAATAAAGTAGGGTGCATCAGGGCGCAATGCGACTCAATGGGTTAATTCCTAGATTGGTAAAAAAGTGGAAAGTTCCCCGAAGTGTGACTGATGTCCGAGGCATATCCGCCATTTGCAAACACTTGAAGTGAGATCAATACAAAAACTGATTTGGATTAATTTTATAAGGCCAAAAATAATACCAGGGTTCCTGGTGTTTAGAGCTCACTGGTTTGTGATATGATGTATAAAATTCATAAAAATGAAATAAA